ATAACATCACTTTTGTTTATTAATTAACCCAGAGTAAATGATTAATACCTGGGGGAGCAAACAGCTGTGCATATCTCTCTATCAGTGTTATAGAGGGCAGACAATTTATGAGTTTACCCTGTATAAGCTTTATACAGAGTAAAACGGATTTATTTGGGGTTTGGATCCCATTGGGAACTGGGTGTCTGGGTGCTGGAGATAGGTGACCTGTTGAGCAGTTTTTGGTTAAAGCCTGCAGCTTTTGGGGGCATGGACCAGACCTGGGTCTGTGTTGCAGCAGGCTAGTGTGTTTGGCTCAACAAGGCAGGGTTCTGGAGTCTCAAGCTGGCAGGGAAAACGGTCTCAGGTGACAGTCCCAAGGGGGTCTCTGTGACCGAATCTGTCACAACCCCAGAGGACACTGGAAGGAGAAGACTTGCTACCTGCCCGCAAAGACAACAGCAGGTGGGCTGGCTGGCTTTCTGCATGCTCTGTTTTGTGGCTGTGTTATGGAGGCATGGGTCTGCTAGGTGCTTGGAAAAGGAGAGGCTTTGCCCTTGGAGAGTCCTAGCAGAATATATGCTGTATGGAGCTCCCTGTGGATGCCTCCATCCGGCAAACCCCACTCCAAGGGCAAGGATTTCTCGAGGTGCCAATGCTCTCTGGCCCTTCAGTGTAGCCTTCTGTGGCATCCACCCAAGCTGCAAGCTAGGCCTGGAGTAGTGGTGCGTGGTGTTACTTGCGAGGAGAGACCACATGTTTAGGGCAGGGAGCAGAGGCTGTATGTTTGAGGCCGGGCACATGTATTGGTGCTTGGGCAGCTTTAACTTTCTCATTTCTGATTTCAAACTTTGTCTTAGGTGTTGGGACATGCAGTGGGATGGCCCAGTCATGGGATCATGGTTACAGTTGGAGAAGGCCTGGTGCCCCACACCTCTCTGCTCTGCCAACAGCATCAGCCTCGGTTGCTCCCTTGTTCCTTTTCCCACTCCTGCCTTCGGACCTTCCTTTGTGTTATTCCCTGTGTAGAGAATGACCTCTCAGCCCTGGTGCACCAGGCCCTCCCACCACCTTTCCTCACACAAATCCCTCCAAGAGACTCCCTCCCTTTCACAACCACTAATCTCCAAAGTCAATAGAAGCACAGAGTAACCACCTTCGTGCTGCAGTGCATCTTGTCTTCTGTGCCTCTCTTTATGGCCCTGATTATGTGAACTCCGGAGGGTGGGTGAACCCCTGCCTCCGCACTGAGCCCCACTGACATCAGAGACACTCCACACATGTGAAGGGGAGCGCTCACCCCATGTGCTTGCAGGATTGGAGTTATAGACGGTAAATTCCCTAAGGCAAGGATGAACCGGCACCTGGGCTGTTCCTACTGAAGTCAAGGGCAAAATCCCTGTTGACTGCAATGGGAGCAGGATCTGACTGTTTATTTTTTGTTTTGTGCTGATAAATAATAGAACAAGAAGAATTAATACGAGTCCATGCAGCCCTCACCCTGCCATGGCAGACACACTCCCGCCAGTACATTTTCCAGTGTTTTGTCTGGCCTGGTTTTGAAAATCCTGAGCAATGAGGAGTCTAAACAACCACGGATAACAGCTTCTCTCTCTCCCCGTTTTGGAATGGCATCCCCTGTTCCCCATCCATTGTGTACTGGCTGGAGTAGCTCATTGCATGCTGTGGGTAAATAATGATTTAGAGGAAGTTACACAGAGGAGGTGCATTCTGCGACTGTCCAATGTAAATTACATGGAAATTAGGCTTCTGTGAGGCCAAAGGCCCCTGTGGAATAGGGCTGTTAGTTCACATAACACTTGTGCTAAATGAAGCGGTTGACACAGCTTTCAGAGTGTAGTGCTGCTTTTAATTTGCCGTGCAAAAGGGCTGAAGGTCCACTTTAGCTCTTCAGGGAGAGAACTGCAGCAGCAAGGGTCTGTGACTCGGTCTTCCCTGAGAAAACGACGTCCCTCCAGAGGGGGTTTGTTAATGGTGTAGGGCACAATCCGATTACATAAAACACCAGCAAATTCTTTAAAGTCCAGAAGGCCAGAGGTGAAGGCAAACTCTTCCAGCCTTTGATACCTTGATTCAGGGCACGTTGACAATTTTGGGGGCTCCCTCAGCGCCCAGTTCAGGATAGCATGTAAGCTTGTGCTTAACTTCAGGTTCCACTGACTTTAATGGGACTTAAGCATGTGCTTGAAGTTAAGTGCTGTCTTGAACAGGGATGTTTTTCTGAACTGGGTCTAAGGGAGGTTATTCTTCAGCGTCCCCATGACAATCTCTCATTCCCCCTCAGTCTCTTCTCCCTCACAAAAGTGGTCAACCTCCCCTTCCCTGCCCTCTGGAGTCAGTGTGCTTAGAGATCAGCAAGCCCCATGAGCCATGTCCATCCAAGCTGGGAAGGAGATCCAGGTTACTGCTCTTGAAAGCCAGCGCTGTTTATTTTAAATGTAAATGGTATTTTTCAAATCAGGCCAAGCTCCTGGCCCCTTGGATGGTGCCCTGCACTGCCATGTGAGAGCAACATAGGGGCCTTGGCTATTTAGGGCAAGAGAACCCCGTATTGGTCTGCTGCAATGTGTCCGGCTAATCTGAGAGCTTTCGTGGGTCCGAACAGAGTCCCACCCAGTCCTGGTCAGAAGACCGGTTGCTGCGATGTGGCACTTGAGAAGAGGATGTTGGGATGATCCTCCATGGCTTAGCCCTAAGTGGAGGGAATTGGATGTGGGTAAGATGGGAGACAGCCTGGCTCAAAGGATTGGTGATGTGCTATCCAGTTTCTCAGCTGCAGGGCACCAATTCGAATCCAGCCCTATCTGTAGTGACTGAAAGTTCTTACCATCCAAGGGCTGTTCAGTGGCCCTGTATTTTATAAATAAATAATCTGTGGCCAATCATACATATATACTCACTGCTCATTTCACAGTCATGCGGCAGCAGGGTATAACTCATGACCTTCTACTTCAAAAACGAGGGTCTTTGCTGCCTGAACAAAAGATAAAGGGCTGTGAGCTCTAGTAATAACAAGGTGTGATGAAGTGGGGATTTCCCCTTGTTATGTTGTATGTGAGTCTTACTGTTGAGCCTATGTGTGTTTTACTGTTTTGCATGAATCCTGTGTGTGCCTCAGTTTCCCCGTGTGCTGCGCCAATACCTCAGTGGTGGGAAGAGGGGTGTGTGACTTTGGCGGAGACCTCTGGGGCAGGTGAAGATGCTCCAGCTGCCTGCACCTATGCTATGGCCGGTGCCCTTCGTAACCTGAGACTCAGGAGGGGGATGCAACCAGGTGACAACCAGGTGACTCTTTGCCCAGGAAGTGAGACAAAGAGAAGGAGGAGGAGCAATGGGGGTGTCTGAGGTTGGGTTGCTGGAAGTTGGCAGTCTGCTTGCAGGGACTGGAAGAGGGGGAGTCCAGGCCGCCTGGCCCAGGACTCCCCAAGATGGACTTGGCTGAAAGTCACTGATTTCTGTGCTAACAAGGTCTGTTCCACGCTATGTTCCCGTCAACTAATAAACCTTCCATTTTACGCTGGCTGAGAGTCAAGTCTGACTGCGGAGTTGGGGTGCAGGGCCCTCTGGCTTCCCCAGGAGCCCCACCTGGGCAGACTCGCTGTGGGAAGCACACAGTGTTGAAGGGGATGCTGAATGCGCCAAGGTCAGACCCAGGAAAGTTGAAGCTGTGTAAGCTTCTTGCCCTGGTGACAGTATGCTCAGAGACAAGAGGCTCCCCCAGAGTCCTGACTGGTTTCATACGGAGTAATTCCAGAGCATCGCCCCGGTGACTCCGTGACACAAGGTTCATATCCCCTGATGGCTGAAACCTCTAGCAGGCAACATGATGCCGTGCACAAGTATTTGAATAGCTCTGTCATTCTATCCAGGAGAAGGCAGCAGTCACACAAACAACCAATACCCCATTCATTCTGTGTGGAATGAGGGGGGAGATCTCTGCCCAGCTGCTAATGAACAGGTGTACACCATGCAAGAACTATAGACACTAACTGGCATTTTTGTTGGCAGCTTCAGCAGGGCGGCCAAGGTCCAACTGGACCACAGGTACGTTGCCCTCCATCCCGAGAGCAGATCTCTTGGAATCAGACTGGTGGGGCAGTGTGGGGAAGCTGGGATTTCAGTTGCCCCAGGCTGTACCTGTTCTGTGAGAAGTTCAGCCTTTGCTGACTTTTGAACTTAAAGCAGAGAGTCAGTCTCTTTGTCATGTATGAAGAATCCAGCATATCCTCCCTAAACTCGCAGTGTTTAGTCTTTGGCAACAGAATGAATCTTCTGAGAATGTAAGTAAATCTGTTCATTAGTTTCTGAATTAAAATTTATTTTAAAATGAGCAGAGGATTATAGAACATAAGAACGGCCACACTGGGTCAGACCAATGGTCCATCTAGCCCAGTCTCCTGTCTCCCAGCAGTGGCAAATGCCAGGCGCCCCAGAGGGAATGAACAGACCAGGCAATTATCGAGTGATCCATCCCCTGTGTCCCACTCCCAGCTCCTGGCAGTCAGAGGCTAGGGACACTCAGAGCAGAGGGTTGCATCCCTGCCCATCCTGGCTAATAGCCATTGATGGACCGATCCTCCAGGAACTTATCTAATTTATTTTTTAAACTCTGTAATAGTTTTGGCCTTCACAACACTGGTCTCTGGGGGCATCACTTTGTCACCTTTCACAAGCCCTGACTGTACTAAAACAATCAAGAAAATAAAATTCTTGCTAAGTTATGCCCCAGCAATGCCCTGTCCAGCTTTCCCCAAAGTGCAGCCAGACCCTGCTTAAATCTCTACGGCTGGTAGCTGCTGTTTCACCTAAAGCGGCCTGGCTCATCCTTGCAGAGAAAGGAGAGGGTGTGTAGGGGAGAGAGAAAAGGCAGGACAGAGAGAATCTCCCGGGAGATGCAAAACAAGCTCCCTGGATTGCTAGGACTAGTGGTGACACGCGCCAGACAAAGGAGCTGGCATCCTATAAATGAGGCAGCCAGGATCAGCAAGTGGCTGACTGCAGCAAGAGCAGCCTCTCTGTCCAGGGTCTGTGAGCGCAAAGAGACAGAAGGGAAAGCACCCTAATCTGCTGGAAGTTCACTGGCTGAACCAGGTTTCAAGAGCAGCAAGCACCTGTGTTTGGGGAAGTAAGTGACAATGGCTTTCTGCTTAGCTAGTCATTTGGGGGCTTGTATGTCTGCATTGCAACTTTCCTGGGTGTGCACAAGTTTGCTGTCGGGTATACACAGCCAAGTGTACCCTTCCAGGAAGGAATTCCTGAATTCCTTTTGCCATCAGCTGGGTCTTTACTAATAATGACTCCCGTGTCCTGTCTCTGTAAAGCTAATAAAAAAGCAACATAACAGACCAGCTGAAGTGCTATGAAAACTGCTACTTACAGGTTACTGAATTCAACCGAAAAGAGACACTTGTGTTGTACTCCTTATGTGCCTATATTTTTCAGGCTGTTTAAAATTTGCTAAAACTTGGCAATAAAAATCTCAAGCAAGGAGCAAATATTTGCTGCTTTTGATCATTTAAAAAAAACAAAAACGAGTGGGGCTATTTAAAAATTACATAAAATCCAAACAAACTTCTTAAAACGCGGGATTCTGTGATTTTATAACCAAACGCTGTGGGCCTAATTCTGTGTTGCTCTGCTCCCGGTGCAGTCACTTCCACCAGTGCAAAGTGGGTGTAGAATGGCCCTGGATCAGAATTGACACTCATTTTACACTGGTGAAAATGACTGCACAGAAAATAAAGCCCTTTGATCTCAGAAATAAAACGAATATAACTCGATAGCACGGTCTAATGGCTTCGGGCATTTCACAACAAAGCTTTTAGAAAGCCTAAAGTAGGCAGCTTGTTATGCATATTTGTGCAGTAGATTGTGTGTAAATAATATGCATTTAAATACTATGAATATCAATAGATAAAGATCTACAGAGAGAGCTTTAAATTCTAGATTCACACATATACATTTAGAAAATCCATATTCCATCACTACTCCTTTACTGTGTGTGTGAGAGAGAGCGCGAGAGAGATGTGAATGATTTTCATTTAATGGAACAGTTCCCTAGGAGGAAGATTTAGGTTTCCTCCCCTTCCAGTCTATCTGAAAAAAATAATATCAATAACATTCTAAAAAACAATATAAATAGCACTTTTTAAAAAAAATTAAAAAAGCTTCTTAAATTGGTTCGTACCTGCTAGTCTACGGTGGTTCCAAATTTCATGTTCAGGTCTATTGCATAAAGCTCTATTTGACTAAGCAAATGAATAAATAATAGAAAGAAAATGTTTCTAAAATAAATTGTCAAAACTTCCATAGGAGCAGGATTAGACCCAGCATTGTGTATGTTAGATCCTTTCTCTAAAGATTTGTGTTTCTTTTTTGTTTTTAAAATTCCAATATATAAACAACCTTCTCTTTTCCCCTTTACATAAATGATGAAAGTTGTTGAGACACGAATCCCTATACCAATAAAGGCCGCGTTAACAAAGCGTCTAACCCAGCTGAAATGTCGTTTGGAGGGAATATGCACAGCCAGCAGAGTGTGGTCACAACAATATTGTTCTGACCACACTAACTCTGAATTTTACAGACCTAATCCTGATCTCACTCGCACTGGAGATGAGTAGTAGCCCCATTGAAGTCAATGGAATTACAGTGGAGTGAGATCAGGATTGGGCCCTTTGTCTCCTGGTAGTTTCCATCTTAACATAGAAAGGTAGGATTTGCCACAGTGGATCAGTTTCTCAGTGATTATGGGGAGCAATAACTTTACTTAAACACAGCAAGCCAAATTAATTCCTGGGGTAACTCCATGCAAGCCAGTAGAGCTGCACCAGGTATGATTTTAGCCCTGTGTGTTTGGAAGTTAATATGTACTGCATACACACAATATGAGACATACACATATGTATGTATCTGCTCTTACTGAAGTCAAAGGAAGGCTGCTCTTTTGCTGAACTCTTAGATCCAGAATGTACCATCCCTGCTTCCTTCTCGACGTGGCACAGATTTCTTCTGTCACTAAGAAAGGGGAGGACTCTCCTCACGTTCAAGGCAGATCTAGGTGGTTCAAGCAAACGGGTACCCTTCCAATAATACGTTTTACCCTTCAGCTTTGTGGCAACAGATGCACAGGCAGAGAGATATGGCCAGATACATCAGTTGTCATGAGTTGGCGATATAACTGAAGGGTGGTCTTAGAGCAGAGGGTCATCCACAATAGGGGGCCCCTCAAGAATTCCTGTAGTATTCCCATCGTGCTTGGATTTTCTTTCTGATCAGGAAAGCCTGGACCCGTGACACTTGTATATAATATTTGGGAAATGAATTTGATGGAGGGCCTGTGTTTTAAAGAAAACCATTTGGACCAGGGATCCAAGCCGCAGCCTGATAGGGTTCAATTACCTCTACCTTCAGGATGGGGGAGCAGCACAATGCCAAATGGGCAAGAAAATATTTTACAGAAAATAATTTCTGACACTAATGTGGGCTTAATGGATACAGAGCACAGGTGTTTATCTTTTAACTAACATTGCTTTATAAATAGCACTGAAGCTAAGGCCATCATACCCATGCAAATTTGTCAGCCCTTGCTCACACCAAACTCCCACCAGAGCCCATGAGAATCCTCCTTGACAAAGGACTCTGGGGTCTGGCTTTATAGAAATATAAGTGCAGCGAAACAAAGGAGGGCAAAGAATGTTCCTAATGAGCGAGCAATGGGAAAAGGAAAAAGGGCAAAGAGGTCTGTTTGTCCAAGTGCATGGAATTTAAATCTCAGAGGCATTAACGGAAATCTTTAAATTCACATTTTGCTGAGAGGAGAACAGACCCTCTATGCTCTGCCATGTGTGTATAGGCTCAAAGCTGGCAGATCTACTGGCCTAACTTTTGAAACGTGACTCCTGATTTTAGGTGCCTTCATTTTTAGGTGCCCAACGTGAGACCTCCTAAAGAGAGAGAGTGCTAAACACCCATCCTCTGAAATTCAGGCCCCGTTAAGGGGTCTCAAGTTGAAGCACCCAAAATAACAAGTCACTTTTGAAAATTCAGGCCATATTTCTCAGTAAGTGTTAGATCTGACCAGGCTGAAAAGCAACATTGAATCATGTTAAAAATGTGCAATGGAGTTGTAGCCATGTTGGTCCTAGCATATTAGTGACACAAGGCGGGTGAGGTAACATCTTTTATTGGACCAATAGCTTCTCTCTCTCACCAACAGAAGTTGATCCAATAAAAGATATTACCTCACGCACCTGGGTCTCTCATAAAAATGTGATGATAAATATTCTACAGTATCAGAGGGGTAGCCGTGTTAGTCTGGGTCTGTAAAAAGTGACAAAGAGTCCTGTGGCACCTTATAGACTAATAGACGTATTGGAGCATAAACTTTCGTGGGTGAATACCCACTTCGTCAGATGCATAATGTAGTATCCCCAAAATACTGTAATACTAATTGAAGCATGTAGGTTTTAGACCATTGGTTTAGAACACGGCAGTACTCTTTTTAAAATACTTGTTTATAGTTTGAGCGTTCCAGCAAACCCTGGCTTCAGAGGGGAAGGTTCCTGGGCGCCGAGATTTCACAGGGTCAATTTTGTCACAGATTTATAGACATTCAAAATCTCTGCCTTGGCTGCTTTGGTTCTTATTGTGTATTCTCCACAGTGTTATGCTTTCAAATATTCCATAGTGAAATGACCACAATGATGGCGGTACGTGGCTTGAGAGTACAAAAGAGCCCCCAGTTCATTCAGACAGCTTATTCCCCCTTTTGCGTGTATTTATTAAAGGTGGTCACTAGAACTGTTAAACACAAGAAATATTTATTATTGTTCTAGTTCCTACCGGCCCCTAATAAGATCAGGGCCTATTGTGCTAAGTGCAGTACAAACAGACAATAAGAGACAATTCCTGTCTCAAAGAGCTTACCACTGAAATAGACAAGACAGGCCAAGGAGGAGAGGAAAATGGAGGCACAAGGAGATGAAGGAATTTGCCCAAGGCCACACCCCAGAGGTAGTGGTAGAGCTGGGAATAGGACCCAGGTTTCTTGATTCCTAGTCCAAGGCTCTATGCACTAGACACCACTGCCTCTTTTTTATCTTCTTGCCTTTAAATCTGATATCCCTGCAATGGGAACTCCTGGCAACATGGCTCCACCCTCTATAGGAGACACAAGGAGCTATGGACAGGTAGGGGTGGTGGTGACATTGGTTATTCCCACAGTGATGAGCATTAGGCCCATAAGCCTACCATCCATGTTCTGCTTTCAGGGAACTCAAACTCGTTTCTACTGGGTTTTCTACCAGGACTTCAAAAGACCCTGCGTGTTAGTGCTGGCCAGTGTAATATCTTGTGACATCCATGCCAAATCTTCCCCTCCCTGCTGGCTTGAGTTCCACAGCCCAGTGCTACCGTGAAATGGAAGGGCGAAACAACGGGCTTCCTTTTTCTCCTTTGTTTCACATTGCACCAATTCACACTGAACAAAACTCAGTACTAAGTGTTTCTCCGGGGCTCTTTGGCCCCTGTTTTAAAACAATCTGGCAAGTATCTGCGTGAATTGTGAGGCAGGCTCCATCTTTCGTTTCATTTCCTGTTATTCAAGGGCTGAGGGGACTCAGAAAACCTCGACATGAAGTATTAAATAGCGAGTGTTAACCCACCAGTGGGCCTCCCTGTTGGAAAAACAGTGCTGTGCTGTGAGTGTATTTGTGAGGGGCCAGATCCTTGATGTCAATGGGAATGATGACTGAGCAAGGATTTCAGGATTGCGACCAAGGGGCCAGATTCAAGGGGCAGGAGAAGAATGGTGTAATTCTATGGAGGTCAAAGGTGTTGGACATGGGATAGATTTAGTCCAAGATATTTGTTTATATCCAGCCTGTTCATAATTACTGAGTCCCGGCCTCCATCGCAGACCCGTTCGCCCCCCACCCATTAATCACAGCTTCAACAGCCATTCGCTTTGGAATATCCAAGCAGAAATGTCGCTTTGTGCCGGGAATTCCTGCTGCCGCTTCTGCTTGAACACCCATTCAGGGTTTTTAATTCTTGTACATAGCGAGGCTGCGAGAGCTGCTGCTATTGAGAAAGCGATCTTCATCTATTCTCTGCATTGTTTAA